ATCAGACCACTATCCGTAACCCAAGATGTAATCACATGATATACCACATAACTCAACCACTCATAGCGATAACTTCTGATCAGAGCAGCTGCTCAAACAACCCAATACCGGTAATAAACCTCTTATCAAACAAAGCCTCATTCCAACACTTTCTTATACTGCCAATGATGAAAGAAACACGCAGAAAATCATGACTATTCCTCAGATCAACCAGTCATGGAGTTCCCTCTCCTTCGGCAAGAACCATAGTAAATTTCTAAACTGAATTCCAATATTATCCTTCCAACATGCTGAAATTGAATCTGATAGTATTCATTGTAGATCCCAATGCCCTCATCTCATCCAACACGACTGCTCTAGTGGCATGAAACATCAATACAATCTAAAAATCGCAACATGTGCAAATCCGCGCACCAAAAAGGAAGAGTGTGAAAATCCTCTTTAGTTTCTATCACTACAATTAGATGGTTTCACCATCTCTGCATTCACCCACATCTACTAAAAGAGTGTCATTCTTGCTTGTTGGCAAAACTCTGCAACAATTTCTTCTTGGAGACTGCTTCAAAACATCCAAAAAAACATATTTATGAGCATACATAGTGACAATAGTGCCTAACTATTCTACAACATCATAAAACAAAAATTAATTACCTTGTCCCATAAATTTGGATTAGGCTTCTTGTACACTTCCACGTGGCGTACGTTGGATGGATCAGCCATACGCCACTTGCACTTCGATGCACGGGCCCCATCGTACACGTATTTGCTTGTTGTGTGATTGGTTGTCACGTATGCATTAGACAACAAGTAGAAAAATGGTCTTTGGCAAGCATTTTTATGATATGTTCTTGTGTTGAATGTGAAGGAATTCTCATCACCAGTTGCATACCAATCATTGAAAGTTGTAATGGGCTTTTCCATTTCACGGGCCGGCAAGATGCCCCTATTTATTTGGACCGAATAGCCCCACGAGACAGAAATGGTCCATCCCCTGGGCCTGTCATAACATATGGACTGTTGCATGAGCCCAGCTGAGTCCAGTTTTATGGGCTTGTTGAGCCGTCTCAGGGCTTCAACTCGGCTTAATTTGGGGAAGATGGGCTGGATTTTATCAAGATGATGAAGAGAAACTAGTGGTGCAACTGGATGGGCTGAGAGGAGGCCCATCACACTACCATGTAGATCAAACTGTTCCAGATAAATATTGTCATATCGTTAAATCATCAAAATAATAAACATATATGCGTTAAAACCCGATAGAAAGAAATTTATTATTGCTACAAAAGAATTGGATTTATTACTCCACATTGACATACTTAACCTATAAATATAGTTTAAAATTCTAAAAAAAAAAATTAACTAAACTTGCCACGATTATAATTAGTTTTACAAATAAATAGAGCATAAAGAACACATCAATTTCTAAGCAAAGATAGTTATAAATCAAATATATCTTGATACCTAGATGACTAGATTTAAAAAAACAAATATAAGATTTTAAAATATAATTCCCCAAGGTGTGTGGATCGGTTTAACTATGTACACAAGTCATATCTCTATTAATTAGTATTGTGATGCTTACCTTTTTGGTCCTATTGGTTTTATTTTTCTTGAGTGACTAATACCTTTGTTTTTTTATTTGTTATTGTTGAATTTATATTGGCTTAGTTCTGCTTAAGTATTTTGATTTATATAAGTAGGTTGATGAGAAAGCCATATTGATATGATTTTAATATACGCAGATGGAAATTTGTTTAGTTGAACTACCATTTTCCTGATATAGTACTAGTACTAGTATTTATGTTGCTATTATTGAAACCACGGAAATAATTTCAGAAATGGGAATTAAGGGACATATCCTAAGAAAGTAGATAATTGTAGGCCACCCACCCACTTTATATGGGAAAGTGGTTTAGTATATTTGAGGATTGGATGCCACAAAGCCACTAGTCCTCTCCATCAAGGGGTCACCCGAACCTACCAATTCTAATTCACTATAACAAACAAAGAAACACCCAGTTATCATTTGAATAAATGACACTATATAACTGTTGTAAAAATAATAATCGAAAAAATATATAAAATTTGTATATATACATTCTGTATGTTATATACAAGAATTATACAAGTTTTATACACTTTTCGCCTATCAGATGTAAATAGTTTCTGGCAACGGGCTAAAAGTAATAATACCCTTCCTTATTTTTATGACTATTGCAACACATATTTTGCCTGAAAATATTGCAATTTGAATAATATTGGTCGTAAAAATAAAATCAAATTATTTTCAAACATACATCCATTCTTTCGGATTAGATTAGAAGGTAAAGAGTGCTATAGAGGAGTGCATGATTAGATTTCTCTTACCCCCCTCCCCCTCCCCAAGTTTTTTTTTTTACTAAAGTACAATTCTCTTGGTGGAAGTTGCAGGTAATTTAAGACCATGATCCCATATATGGTTCTAGTCGATAAGACTTTATGCCACTTGTTTAGTTAACATCAAACCTATCTTACCCAAACCATTCCACTAAATAAACTATGATTAAATTTTTACTTCCTAGTTCCTACCTGCATAAAAACAAAGGTTATCTCATACACTATGAAGGTGTTTGGCTAAGCTTATAAGCTGGTCAAACTGGCTTATAAACACTTTTTGGCTTATCTACGCGTTTGGTAAAATTAAAAGTGCTTATAAGTTAAGTGCTTATAAGCCAAAAGCCATAAGTTGGTCTCCCCCAACTTATCAAATTTCAGCTTATAAGCACTTTAAGTTTGACCAAAATATTTACTATTCTATCCCTAAAATACTTCTTTTTAAAACAAAACTCTTGGTATACCCAGTTCTTCAGCTGCATATTATTAATTTCAGTATTTTTATCCAATCACGTAATTGCTTATTTTTTAAATAAGTTTCAGCACTTTAAAGTGCTTATCAGCACCTAATGCTATCTGCTAGAACTACCCAGTGAGTGCAATAAAGATCTTTGGCTCATTTTTTTTTTCTTAAATAAAATTACTATAACAATATTCGCGACTAATATTTAAAACCACATATTTGGTGATTTATATATGTCTCCTTAAATAATTTCGGTGCTACATGAACTCAAAAGCGGGTCAATTAATTTCGGAGAAGAAGTTGGAAAATCGCCTTGCAATAAACTACAAAATCTCTCCCACTTTCCTTATCCCCTTCTTTATTTATTTGTTATTTTAAGGAACAAATATATTCTCCTTTAATTAGGGTCCTAGTAGTTGGTATGATTCTATTGACTCAATTATACGAAAGGTCACGGTACTAGTTACCTAATAAGGACCGTAAATTGAATTCATGAGTTTAACTATCATGCAAAATACTAACTATAATAACAATAAGCGCCTCAGTCCCAAGCAAAGTTGGAGTTAGAATACTAATATAAAAAAAAAAGATGCAAAAAAGAAAAAAAAAAAGAAGAAAGAAGAACAAACCTGGTGAAATCCAACTTCTTTGGTGAGAGGAACTCCAAGTTCAGCCAAACAAGCTTGAATCCTATCATCTGATCCATACAAATGAGGATATTTCTCAATGCATTTATCTTGTATTTTCTCAAGAGCCTTAGCCAATGGATAACTTATAGCAAAACCTCCACCTCCATATGCCATATTATATGAAAACTCATGATTTTGCCAATGTGTTTCCGATACACTCCCTATATAATAATACTGATTATGATCATATTTCCTCAATACCCTAACCAAATTTTCTGGCACAAAAAATGTATCATCATCTCCCATCACAAACCATCTCACGTTTTTCAAATCCATCCTTACTGTTTCTGATATTATTCGCGATATTCGAATTCCTGATCTATCGCCCTTTTTGTTAGTGTACTTAAACCTTGATGTGTTGCTTGAAATCTTGATTTCTGGAAGAGAAGTAACGTTGTAATTACTCGGGCTGCTTGGATTATTCTTTGACATAGTTGGCTTGTCTAACCATACAAATCCTCGCATTTTATTTGGCTTCCACCATAATTTTACGTACTCTTTTCTATAATTCCATGTAGTACGTGACGATCCAATGCCAAATACAATATGGTGGAGCTGAGTTTTTTCTGGGGTTTGGATAGTGTCTGACTGGTTTTCTTCGTTGAATCTAATAAAAATACCTAAAGGATTTTGGGTGGACGTGAATGAAGGGTTTACGAAAATTAGAGAGTAAAAAACGTATAAAAGACAAAAGAAAAAGATGAAGGTGATCATGATTCTGGGAAGTATTCTTCTAAAAGTGTTTAACACATTATTTGTTTCAGAAATAATAAAAGAGACCACATATTGTGGTCTGTTTTTCATTGTTTGGCAAAATCAAAGGCAACCAAAAATAAAAATAAATTGTTCCTAGGAAAGAGCAAAGTGACACTTCCTCTGGAAAACCTGAAATTTTCCCCAAATAATAAGGAGGGAGATGGAAGAGGAGAGGTTTAATTTGATGGAAATTGGGGATAATAATAAGGCTATTTGAAGTTATAGTTTGATACAGACTCTTAAGTCTTAACACCTTTTTGAACACTTATAGGAGTAGAAGCTTAATACAAGTAAACAACTTTTTTTTTTGGTTTAATTAATGAAATGATTCGAGTGTTCATAAAAAATAAGTTTTCTTTTAAAGATAATTCTCTTGCAAAATAAGGTAAACTAATTGTGGTAGATATCCGTATTGATTTGGTTGGAAGTTCGAAAACAAACTATATATGCTAACTAATACTATATCATTGTATATTTGATATAATATATGCTACAAAGCTGCTTGTTTTTATAGTTAATGGATAGTTTACCATAAAAACAAGATTAGTTGATATAGAAGGCAAAAAAATATAATGGTATTATTAAATCTTATATCCCTAAAAAGTATCATTAAATTAAACGGTAAAGTTGTCTCCGTGTAACGTATAGGTTACGGGTTCGAGTCGTGGAAGCAGTCACTTGTTTGCATTAGCTAGGTTAGTATGTCTACATCACGCCCATTTGGTGCGGTCTTTCTCCGGACCCCGTGAATACAAGATACTTTATGTAGTTAGGTTAGGATATCTACATGATTATATCACACTCATCAGATACAGTCCTTCTCTGAACCTACGTGAATACTCGATACTTTATGCACCAGACCCTTTTAGTAAGTAGACACCGCAAAGAGGATTTATCTGTTAATTTATTTTACTTCTTTGGGTAGTGGATTTGGTTTGTTAATTTGGAAATTCTTTCAAGTTTATTGTATAATATAATATTTTTTTCCTATGAATGGTAAGTGCGAGCTTGAGACGTTAAAGTGAGTAATCGATAGAATCTTTAAAGCATTTCGGGAATAAAATATACACTTGCCCAAAAACTTCATAGCCCCTTACTTAAATTTTGGTCAAAAGATGGAATCTTACTGTAAAATAAAGTAATTTCAACTACGTATTAGACTTCAGGAATGTTCTTTTTAAAAATTCATGCTCATCGAATAATTTACCAAATGAGTAAAACTCTAATTAATTGTTAATCTAGATAAATAGTAATGGAAATTTTCGTATATATACCATATATGAAACTATATTACCAAATATGTTCATAGTTTGCATATTACCATTCATGCTAATAGTATTTCTGCATAATATATACAATGCATTAAATAAGGAATCACTGTAGCTTTATGATTCCTTATTTAGGCGCGGTAAAAAAGGGGAATTAAATATTCTTCCAAATCTTCTACAACGCAAATCACGCACATTAATCTTCTTCGTCAGTTTCGTTTCAAATTAGCGTCTCTGCTTTTTTGATACACTGTGTTTCAAACCTTTTTTCTGATTTCACAAATCAAAAACGACTAAATCTTCTACAATTCTTCTACATCAAATGCAATTATGTCCAAATTTCAGTAATACAAAGCAAAGGAAAAGAGAGTAGCAATTCCACCATTGACAGCCTTTAAAAAGCTTTGAAGCTTTGAATTGAAAGTTGGGTTTTCAAAAATCATTATTTGTTTGGATTGGGTGTTGTTGCAAATAATTGGGAATATGGTCTGGAGTTTATATCTCAATTTTGAGGGGTTTTGGTGAAGAATTTCGGATTGAAACTTGAAGAAGAAGAAGAAGAAGAAGAAGAAGAAGAAGAAGAAGAAGAAGAAGAAGAAGAAGAAGAAGACATGGCATACATTATATTGCAGAAATTGTAGAAAAATTGTAGATTGTTGTTTATTTATTTTTCTTTTATTCATTTACCTATTGTATGAAAGTTGAACAACATTGTATAAAATTATATTTAAGTGGATGATTTAGTACTGTTTTGGACAAAAATATATATCAAAAATATGAAACATACATTTTAGGGGAAGCATGTCGAATCTAAATATGTACCCAGTTTGTAGATATTTTGTAGATAAATTATAGATTATTTGTATTCTGATTGTAGATGCTTTATTTTCTGTTTTCACAAATAAAAAACGATTAAAACTTCTACAAATCTTCTGAAAAAACACAATTATGTCAAAAATCCCAATTATGCTACAATTGAATGGGAATTGGGATATTAAAATTCAATGTACCCAGTTTGTAGATATTTTATAGATAAATTGTAGATTATTTGTATTCTGATTGTAGATGCTTTGTTTTTTGTTTTCACAAATAAAAAACGACTAAAACTTCTACAAAATTTCTGCAAAAAATGCAATTATGTTGAAAATCCCAATTATGCTACAATTGATTGAGAATTGGGATATTAAAATTTAATGTACCCAGTTTGTAGATATTTTGTAGATAATTTGTAGAAACATTGAAATTCTGTATTTTCATATTAATTTTTCAAATAATATGTAGTTTTGTTGTAGATTAAATGTAGAAAACAAGCCATTATGAGTCTTATTTGACTCATTCCTCACATTCAACCTATTCTACAAATTCACGCCTCTTTAAATACAATACAACCATACTTCTTGAATTTAAAGGTATAGCAATATATATAACTTAAAAAACATCTTCTCCTCTGTACAAGTTAGCTCCAAAACAGACGAAGTGGAATAACAAGCTCCCATCAAAACTTTTAACACAAAAACACAATGCTGAAAAAGAAATAAACAACAATCTACAATTTTTCTACAATTTTTCTACAATTTCTGCAAATATAATGTATGTGATGTATTCTTCTTCTTCTTCGAGTTTCAATCTGAAATTCAGCCAAAACCAAGTCTAATCTTCACCAAAACCCCTCAAAATTGAGATATAAACTCCAAACCATATTCCCAATTATTAACAACAACACCCAATCCAAACAAATAATAATTTTTGAAAACCCAAATTAGAATTCAAAGCTTCAAAGCTTTTTAATGGCTGTCAATGGTGGAATTGCTGCTCTCTTTTCCTTTCCTCTTATATTACTGAAATTTGGGATTGCGAGATAGAGAGAGACGTAGACAGAATTCTCAAATCTTTGCAACAACATCCAATCCAAACAAACAATGTCTTTTGAAAACCCAAATTCAAATTCAAAGCCTTGGCTATGGAAGAAATAATGGGATTTTGATACAGAAATCGTGGGTGTGGGAGGAAAACGTGGGTGAAGGTGTGGGAATCGGAGAGAGAAACGTGGTGTCACGACCCAAACCCCGGTCGTGATGGCGCCCAACACATTGTTAAGCAAGCCCGACAATTCAACAACAAATCTCAACTTATGATAATTTAGGAATTCGAACACGGATACTAAATTACTAAACCATCTTATCAAACTGCTATAAGTACGGAGTAGTATACTGAAAACCAACAAAAAATACTGGAACATAACCCAAAACAGGATTCGGTGTCACGATCACGAGCCTCTAATACAGAGTGTCATCCTATAACAAGACTGTCTAAGGAACAGAATAATGAAAGATAGGGATAGGAGGGAAGGATCAAGGCTGCGAACGCCATGCAGCTACCTCGATGCTCCCGGTGAAATGCTGCTCAGCTAGACAGGTCCTCCCTCAGACTGTGATGCACCTAAATCTGCACACAAGGTGTAGGGAGTAAAGTGAGTACTCCGACTCAGTGAGTAATAAGCATAAATAATAACTGAAGATAAGAAATCACTGAAAAACACAAGGCAACTATAACGGGCAGTACCAAACCTTTAACAGTAAGACCGGCAAGTCAATAAAGTAATGGTACAGAAAGAACCATGACAGGTAACGGGTAAGGAATGATGCAATGATGTAATGCAATGCAAATACCGGTACACTCAGGTACCCACTGCGGCGTGCAGTCCGAGCCAACCATATATTTTACGTCGACGGCGCTCACTTGGGGTGTGTACAGACTCTGGAAGGGCTCCTACAGCCCAAGCGCAAATAAGCCATCTCGTGGCACCAACCAGGCCCTCGGCCTCAATATCACATAGTACTGCTGCGGCGTGCAGCCCGAGCTATCCATAAATCCAGAAATCACAATAAGCCCCTCGGGCACTTTTTAATCAGTAATCCACAACCCAAAATATCATTTAAAATATCATTTGAATTTTCAAGTTTAGAAAAAGGGGCTGAGTTTGCAAAAGTAGTACTTAAAACCTTGGAATGAGGTTAAACAATATGCAAAGTATGCAAATCAGTGAAATCAATCCCTGAAGGATCCAAATAACCGGCACGAAGCCCAAAACAACAGTCAAATCCAAGTAACGATGATTTCCAACAAGTTCTAGTAGAAAAACACAGTAAAACATCACCGGCACGGACCAGGTCACAATCCCCAATAACCAACAGCCCTGCACTCATCATAGAGCGCGTGCCTCGCCTCAATATAGCGGTACGATGTGAAATTCCGGGGTCTCAAACCCTCAGTACATCATTTACACCCATTACTCACCTCCAGCCGACCCAAAATCTAGCTCACTATGCCTTTTCCTTTTGAATTGACCTCCTCGCGCGTCAAATCTGATCAAAACCACAAGGAATACATTACAATAGGCTAAGGGAATATAACCCAATCGAAAAGACTCGAAAAACACCAAAAATCACGAAGTTGGCAAAACCCGAGCCCGGGGCCCACTTCTCGAAAAATTATAAAATTCACATTATCAGATTCCTCGTCTCGCCACGAGTCCCTACATATCAAATTTACCAAAATCGGAGTTCAAATGCCCTTTCAAATCCCAAATTTTCATTTCAAAAACCAAGCCCTAGTTCTTCCAACTTTTTACCCAAATTTCCAAGAATTAAAGGTTGATTCTTCAATAAAATGACGTTTCTAGGTCACAAGACTCACCTCCAATCAATCCCCGTCGAAACCCTCTTCAATTACTCCCAAAAAGCTCTCAAGGTGGTTAACAATGGAGGAAAAATGAATACACTCGCGGATGAAATATTCAAATAAAACCCTTTCTGCCCAGGTGTTTTACTCTACGCGAACGCGACCACAACCCACGCGTTCACGATGACCAATTATTAAGGCTGCCAAAAATGCCCTTCGCGAACGCAGCATCACCCACGCGAACGCGAAGGCCTGGGTCTTATATAAACGCGATCGCGAGCCCATAGACGCGAA